GAGGCAGAGCCAGAATTCAAACCCAGATGCTCAAACTCAAAAATTCAATGTTCTTTACACTACTCCACTCTGACATCACAGGGGATCAATCTATAAGCATGTATTGATTACCTGTTTTCTATACTGAGGAAGATACAAGTCACTGAGCCTCTGTTTGGGTAGGTAGGATCAATGCACAAGCAGCAACCAGGTAATTGTTAAGGCTTTGTATAATCAGGTCCTAGGATGTGGGATGCCCATTAGGGATGGTAAAGAAGAAATTCCAAGAGAAATCAATGGGAGTTAAGGTAGTGGAAGAGGTGAGATGACAGTTATGTCTTGAATAATAGATAGGATTTAAATAGAAGGGAGAAGAAGAGTATTTCATTGAGTAATAGGAAGATCACAGGACTTAGAAATGAAAGGATTTTAGGGGTCATTGAACATAACCTTTCCCTATTTTACAGAGGAGGAAACTGAGGCCCCCAGGAGGCTAAGCAATCTGATCATGGTCACATAAATAGTAAGTAGCAGAACTGGGATCTGAGCTAAGAACTTTTAGCTGCAAATCCAGGCTCTCTCCACTAGCTGTATGAACAGAGATGCAAATCAGGAATGGTCAATGAGTGTGTGAGAAATGTTGGAGCCCACCCTGGCCCAAAGAGAGGAGGATTCATGTTGGAAAATTAAAGGCCACGACACCAGAAAGATAAAATGGGTTGAACTTGTAGAAGACCTTGAATGTTAGGGCACTTAATAAATATTGACTGAATTGAATAGGTGATGAGGAATAGACTGGAGAATGGAGACGCTGGAGGAAGCAGGGAGACTAGCTAGGAGACCATTACAGTGATCCAGGCAGGGAGCTTTCTAATGTACTGGAAAAATTGTACTTGAAAATATTGAAGCAATATGCAAATGAAGTTCATTCTCATTATAATGTTATTACAATCATGTCGCAAATATCTGAATTCCCATTTCAGGATGATTTTTATCTCAGACCCATTCTGGGGGCAGGAAATAAATGTAGCCATGAGGAAGGAGTGGCTTTTGTCAGGATTCCAAAAGGAAAACTATAGAGAAGTGGGAGCTCTCCCTCCAGTCCCCTGAGACCCTTGACATTTACCAGGTCCATTACCACCTCCTTCTTATATCACATTTGGTCAGAGATATGAGAGTATTTGACTCTCTATGTATTTGGGCCTTCTTTAGTTGATGGCATACGGGCTATGTTGATGTTAATAGCTGCCAGTAGGGGACTCAGCCAAGAAAGACTTTTCCTTTTGATTTTTCCAAGAGGATCTGAGTTGTTGGAGAGAGGCTGGATAAGGTGAGTAAGAATCTTCTGGAGGTGAAGCTATGATGGCAGAGTAAAAACAGTGACTTGCCTGAGCTCTCCCCCAAATACCTCCAACTACCTGTAAAAAAAATGGCTCTAAACAAATTCTAAAGCAGCAGAACCAACAAAAAGACAGAGTGAAACAAATTTCCAGCCCACAACAACCTGGATGGTTGATTGGAAAGGTCTATTGTGCCAGGCTGGGAGAGGAGCACATTTTGGTGTGCAGGCCTCAGCAATCCTAGAGCAGACCTCAGAGGACTGAACCATGGGCAACTGTGGTAGTTTTCAGACTTCTCAACCCATGAACGCCAAAGACAACTTAGAAAGTCAGTAAGAAAAGTCTGTGTCTGCAGTGAGAGAGAAGCTTGATGCAGTCCCAGCCCCAGTTCCCAAGACGACCCCAGGGCGGTGGCTGCCTCAGGAGCTTCCAGTGCACACACTGAGGGGGAATCAAGCGGCTGATCAGAGGGGGGTTGCAGGGATCTCTTTGCTAGTGCAGGATTCTCTTGCTTTGCCCAGGCTTGGATCTGGGTCATAGTTCTGGGTGGCACTCCTGGAGCAAGGAGGAGAGCAGGTGTGATGGAGCTTGTAGTAGCAGTGGGGAGGAAATCCTCCTCACAGTTCCAAGATAGAAAAGAGTGCTTGTGGTCACTCATAGACCAGAGCACAGGCCAAGAAAGGAGTAAACACCTCGCCCTTGATCATAGCACCTTGGAAGAACTGAAAATTTACAGGTCCCTAAAAGTATCTTTGAAAACAGCTGCACAAAACCCCTGAAGACAGTACATTCTCTACACTGGAAGCAGACTCCTACCTTAACAAAGAGTTTATAACTCAAGTATTTGACTGGGACCATGAGCAAGCAGCACAAAAAGAGTCAGACCATAGAATCTTACTTTGGTGACAAAGAAAATGAAAACATACAACCAGAAGAAGACAACAAAGTCACAGCTCTTATATCCAAAGCCACCAATAAAAAATACGAATTGATCCCAGGCAATGGAAGAACTCAAAAAGGATTTTGAGAAGCAAGTAAGAGAAGTAGAGGAAAAACTGAGAGTGATGCAAAAAAATCATGAAAAACAAGCCAATAGTTTGCTAAAGGAGACCCAAAAAAATACTGAAGAAAATAACATCTTAAAAATAGCCTAGGGGCAGCTAGGTGGCATAGTGGATAGAGCACCAGCTTTGAAGTCAGGAGGACCTGAGTTCAAATCCGACTTCAGACTAAACACTTGACACTTACTAGCTGTGTGACCCGGGGCAAGTCACTTAACCCCAATTGCCTAAAAATAAATAAGTAAATAAATGAAAATAGCCTAACCCAAGTGGCAAAAGAGGTCCAAAAAGTCAATGAGAAGAAGAAGAATGCCTTAAAAACCAAATTGACCAAATGGAAAAGGAAGTCCAAAAGCTTACTGAAGAAAATACTTCCTTAAAAATTAGAACGGAGCATTTGGAAGCTAGTGACTTTATGAGAAATCAAGACACGTAAAACAAATTCAAAAGAATGAAAAAATAGAAAACAATGTGAAATGTCTCATTGGAAAAACAACTGACCTGGAAAATAGATCTAGGAGAGAGAATTTAAAAATTATCAGACTATCTGAAAGCCATGATCAAGAAAAGAGCTTAGACATCATCTTTCAAGAAATTATCAAGGAAAACTGCCCTGATATTTTAGAACCAGAGGACAAAATAGAAATTGAAAGAATCTACCAATCTCCTCCTGAAAGAGATCCCCAAAGGAAAAAACTCCTCTGAATGTTGTAGCCAAATTCCAGAGTTCCCAAGTCAAGGAGAAAATATTGCAAGTAGACAGAAAGAAATAATTCAAGTATTGTGGAAATACATTCAGGATAACACAAGATTTAGCAGCTTCTACATTAAGGGACCACAGGGCTTGGAATATAATATTCTGGGGGGGCAAAGGAGATAGAATTACAACCAAGAATCACCTACCCAGCAAAACTGAGCATAATCCTTCAGGGGAAAAAATAGACATTCAGTGAAATAGAGGACTTTCAAGCATTCTTGATGAGAAGATCAGAACTGAATAGAAAATTTGACTTTCAAATACAAGACTCAAGTGAAACATGAAGAGGTAAACAGGAAAGAGAAATCATAAGAGACTTATTAAGGTTGAACTGTTTACATACTGCATGGAAAGATGATATTTGTAACTCATGAGTCCTTTGTCAGTATTAAAGTAGTTGGAGGGAAAAAAATTATATGTATGTATATATAGATAGATAGATGGATAGATAGATGGATAGATAGATAGGTAGATAAATAGAGGGCACAAGGTGAGTTGAAGATGAAAGGGTGATACGTGGAGAATAAAATTAAGGGGTAAGAGAGGATTATACAGAGAGAAGGAGAAAGGGAGGGGTAGAATGGGGTAAATTATTTCACATAAAACAGAGAAGAAAAGGCTTTTACAGTAGAGGTGAAACGGGGGAAGGTAAGAGGGAATGAGTGAATCTTATTCTCATCAGATTTGGCTTAAGGAGAGAATAATGCACACACTCAATTGAGTATGGAAATCTATCTTGCCCTACAGGAAAATAGGGAGAGAAGGGGACAAGAGAGCAGGAGGATAATAGAGGGGAAGGCAGATTGGGGGAGGGGTAATCAGAAGCAAACACTTCTAAGGAGGGACAGGGTCAAAAGAGAGAATAGAATAAATGGGGGCAGGATAGGATTAAAGGAAATATACTTAGTTTTTCACAACATGACTACTATGAAAGTGTTTTGCATGACTACACATGTATAACCTGTATCAAGTTGCTTGCCTTATCAATGATGGTGGGTGGGGAGGGAGGAAGGGAGAAAATTTGGAACTCAAAGTTTTAAAAACAAAAATTAAAAAAAAATTTGTTTTCACATGCAACTGGGAAATAAGATGTACAGGAAATGGGGTATAGAAATCTATCCTGCCCTACAGGAAAACTGAAGGAGAAGGGGATAAGAGAAGGGGAAGAGAGATAGAAGGGAAGGCAGATTAGGAGAAGAGGTATTCATAATGCATGCTATCTTGGGGTGAGGGGAGGGATGAGATGGGGAGAAAATTTGGAATTCAAAATCTTGTGGAAGTGAATGTTGAAAACTAAAAAAAAAAAATTTAAAAAAAGAAAAAAGAAATGAATGTTAAAAAAAATAAACAGATTTTTAAAAATTAAAAAAAAGAGTCCTCCACTCTGTTTTTTTTGGGGGGGGGAGGCAATTGGGGTTAAGTGACTTGCGCAGGGTCACATAGCTAGCGTCAAGTATCTGAGGCCAGACTTGAACTCAGGTCCTTCTGACTCCAGGGCTGGTACTGTATACACTGTGCCACCTAGCAGCCCCTCTCCATTCTTACCTAAATACCATAGTGTTTACTTTTCTATTGTTCAGTAGAATGTAAGTTCCTTGAGGGCAAGAATATTGTGTTTTTGTCTTTATATTTCTAGCCCTGCATGTAGTAGGCATTTCATGAGTGTTTGGCAAATTGAATTCTTTTTCCCTCACCTTTTCCCTGGCTACCTTTCCACATTTCACACAAGGCCGTGATTTGTCCCCATTGACCAATCACTCTTTGACCTTTTCCAGTTCAGGGGTCTGTCCCTGTCCACTGGTGAGCTTTTCTGATCGGTGGATTTGTTCCGTTCACATCACCCAAATGCCTCTTTATTTCCAGAGGAGTTCCGAGGGGTCACTATCGTGGAGCTAATCAAGAAGGAGGGAAGCACCTTAGGGCTAACCATCTCTGGTGGCACCGACAAAGATGGGAAGCCTCGAGTCTCCAACTTGAGGCCTGGTGGACTAGCAGCCAGGTAAGAAAGAGGATGTATCTGCTGTTGGGCATGATCAAGGGAGGGAGAAGGGGGAAAGAGGGAGGAAAGAAAAGACAGGTAGAGAATGAGGTAGTTCTCTAACAAAATATCATTTACCATATCACAGAATATCAGAACTAGACAAGACCTGAGTACATAGAATGTCAGAGCTGGGAGAAGTCTTGGAGCATTAAATGATAGAATTGGAAGGGACCTTAGAACATAGAATGTTAGAGCTAGCGGGAGGGTGGGGCAAGGAATTGGATCTTAGAACACAGAATGTTAGAGATGGAAAGGACTTTAGGACATGGGAAATCAGAGCTGGAAGGGAGCTTAGAACAGAAGAGTTGAAAGGGACGTTAAAGATCATTTAGGTCAACTCCATTCTCCTTCAGATGAGAAAACTGGGGCCCAGGGAAGGGCTATGCCTTGCCCAGTTCCCAGATTAGAACTCAAGGTTCCTGACTACAGTTCTTTCATCACACTTTGCTACTTTCCCTGGGCAAGAGGGTTAAAAGCAATGGCTAGCATTTAAAGCTTGCAAAGCATTTTATATAGCTCATTTGATCCTCACAAGTCTGTCAGGCAAGTGCAATTATCATCCCCTTTGTGAGAAGAGAAGAATCTGAGACAGAGAAAAGTGAAGTGATTGACAACTAAGTGTTGGAGGCTGAATTCAAACCCAGGGCTTCCTAACTGCAAGTAGAGCACACTGTGTACCTTGCCAAAAAGCTGCCCTGAAGGGATAGGTTTCATGTTTCCTTGTTTGCTTTTATGCATCCTGTTGCATCTGTGTTTGAAGAGACTTCTTAGACCTGGCTCTGTGGTCTAGCTGCTGCACCATAATAAAAGGATTTTTTCGGTGAAGTTTGGATTCAGTCAAAGGGCCTCACTTGAGTACTTGGAGGGCCACATGTGGCCTCGAGGCCACAGGTTCCCCTCTCCCAGCACATGAGATTGTGTTCATCCCTCCTTGGAGAAGTCTGGGGTGTGCAAAAGACAAATAAAGTGACAGAGGGGAGAGAGAAGGAGATGTGAGAGAAAAAGACAGAGATAGAGAAAGAAACAGAGAGAGACAGAGAGACAAAGAGGGGCAGACAGAGACAGATAGACAAAAGATGAAGGAGAAAGAAAAGGAAAGGGAAGGAAAGAGAGGGAGAGAAAGGAAGAAGTGAAAGAGAGAGACAGGAGAGGCAGAGGGATGAGGGAGATGAGAGAGAGAGAGAGAGAAAGAGAGCAAATTACTTTTATGATGGGAAAACTAAGGCAAAGATTATGAAAGGAATTGTCTCTCAAATTCCCTCAGTGAAGTCAACAAGTATTTGTTTAGCACTTAATACTTACAGCCAGTCACTCTGCTGAGCCCTTGGAATATGAACACAAGCAGAAAGACAGTGAATGAGTCATTGGCCAAACTAGATCCCCATCCTGACTTTCAGGGTAGCTCCCAGTCCTCCTTGTCACTAACTTAAGTAAACTCTAACTTTTCCCGAGTTAGCCCTAAGCAAAGCAGTGAAGATGGTGAAATTGGACATCACCAGCTCTCATTTTTGCACTCTTCTCCTAGACTCCAGGTGCTCCCTTGTGTGCCCTAGACCTTTGCCCACTGCTCTCTTGTTGCCCTGATTTCTCCCATCATTTTAGGAGAAGAGCAATCTGAGAAACCTTAGGGAGGTGACATGGTTCCATATCTGAAGGAGTGTCTTGTGACAGAGAGAGCAGACATCATCTCTGGAGCCCCAGCACGCAGAACTGGGACTTACTTACAAAGGAAGGTTTCAAGCAGACAAATTTCAACACAAGGAAAAGCTTCTGAGCTGTAAGATTTGTCCAGCAATGAAATAGACTGCCTCCATATGTAGATACTGGACATTCTTTCACTAGAGGTGTGGAAGCATGCAGTGGAACCAAAAGAAATGTGTTCTAGGTGACTGATTTTCTGTGATTCTTGTGTTCCTAAAAGTGCTTTGTAAACTATAAAGTAACCCACCAATGTAACCGATGCTGTCGTTACATTGCTTGAGTTTAATTTCCTTTGTATCTGGATGGCTTCATCTTTTCCATCTTCCCATAAGTGCCTGCCATTCATGCAGACTCCTGGGACACTGAACTCACATGTAGAATCATTAAATGTTCAAGCTAGACACGACTTTAGAAATCACCTGGTCCAACATCCTGTCCATTTTACAGAAGAGGAAATAGAACCAGAAGACGGGACTGATCTGGCCCCAAGTGAAACTGTGAATCCATTAAAGAGTTGAAACTAGAACCCAAGTTTTCTGTGATCTGATCATTCTAGACCTGTCAAGAAATGGCCCATTTAGTCCAGGACAATTCCACTAAACCAGGCAGGCTCTGTGTGTCATTTAACACTTTATCTGGTCTTACCTAGGATTCATGATAGCCATAACGGTGGAAGTATGGGGACTATTTGGAAAGGTGGGACACCAGATTAGCACTGCCACCTAATTAGAAGAGCTGCAAGTGCACAATATGAGAGCAAATGTGAGAGATATTGACAAATAATGAACACACCTGGAATTCTGCTCATAAGTTAACCGTTCCATTTACCCCAACACTCTCTGTCTCCCTCCCATTCTGTCTCTGTCCCATTCTTTGCCTCTTGTCTCTCTTTGCCTTTGTGCTTGCCTCTGTTTCTCTACCTTTCTGCTTTCATCTTTCATTTCCTGTCTCTGCCCCTTCATCTCTGTCTTTCTCTGTGTCTTTTTGTCTCCGTCTCTCCTCTCTGTCTCTCCCCCTCTCCATCTCTGTTTCTCTCTTACACACACACACACACACACACACACACACACACACACAC